ATTCATGCAGCTCTTTAAGACTCTTCTTCGTGGCTCTGTCGTCTGGTGGTTTGGTTTTTGACCATCGGTGTTTCCATGGTTATTATGGTTATTATTACCCACAGTTCACTGCAGTAACAGGCTCAGTCAGAAAGTCCTCAGATGTTAATGACTGGTCTCTGTGTCTCCACCAGCTGTAAACTGTGTGACCTTTGACCTTTGATTTGATCAGATCTTTATTGAACCCACATTGATGAATCATGTTGAGGTCAGTGTGTGTGTGTGTGTGTGTGTGTGTGTGTTGGAAGATCTCACTTTTATTCTTTGGTTAAAAAGGTAAAAAAGTTCAAAATGTACCTTTACACATTGACTTCCTGTTTTGTAGATGAACAAACACGTCTGTTGTTGTCATGTTATTTTGTTGACACAGTTCAAATCAGAAAAGAGTACTTCATGTATATAAATATATACTGCATGTGAGGAGTAGGATTCAACTGAGATACTGCAGTCGCTCCTCTGAGGAAGTAGTACTGAAGCAGTACTGAACCAGTACTGAACCAGTACTGAACCAGTACTGCTTCAGTACTGGTTCAGTAAAAGGGGCGGGTGTTGGTTCAAATTTTTGAAGCTTCCCGCTCAGGGAGGGACGAGTAAGTGAGAGAGGAAACAAGTGAAGGAATGTGGAGAACCACAGATGAGACCGTGTCTGTTCTCTGTCAGAGCAACATTCCTCTGTGCAACAGACACTTGTCAGTGTCCCAGTGTCCCAGTGTCCCAGTAACAGTTCCACTCACGGCTGTTCCTGTGTCTGACTGTTCTTCTAGAAAACTCCTTCTCTCCTCTCATGGAGTTTTCCTGAGTCTCAGACGCAGCTCATACAGAGTCATGTCCAGCTGTCAGTACTGTTGAGGAACAGTTCCACAGTTCTAGATCACCCCCCCCAACCCCCACTCACCCCCCCCCCCCCCCCCACCTTTAAGATTCTCCTGACAGGAGCGGCTTGAAGCACGCCCCCCGCTCTCTCCCCCCCCCCCCCCCCCCACACACACACACGTTTAAGATTCTCCTGAGAGGAGCGGCTGGAAGAGAGAGTGAAAAGAAGAAATGGAAATAAGTTACCGTGGCAACAGGAAACACCAAGTGAATAAGAAACTGTAGGTACTGCCTGTGTCTACAGTACACAGCACAGTACACACCACAGTACACACCACAGTACACACAACAGTACACAGCACAGTACACA